CATCCCCAACCCATTCGCAGCCGCAGGACTAAACGTACGTACACGTCTTCGTCTTCACGCACGCACGCACGCACGCACGCACGCACGCACGCACGCACGCACGCACGCATGCACGCACGCACAAACGCGCGAGTACATCTTTAATACATGACCGTCTATCGGAGCCAACGATGGCAGCCGCCGCCACCGCGCGTTGTTGTCGTCGCCACGGCAACCGTGCTACATGTCTTTGTAGATGATCGTCACGGCGTCGAGGCACTCGGCGGTGTCGCGAGTCAGCACGTAGTCTCTCTGCACGCGATCGCTCTCGTTGTCGCACGCTTCCGGCCGAAGCCCGCTCGTGTCGACGTGCGGCACGCTCCCCATCCCCGTCAAGCACGCTCCTGCCACGTTCTTCTCCATCCTATCCACCTCCTGCAGCACGCGCTCCATAGGGAACTTCCCTTTCCCGTACCCTTCCGGCGTCGCCCCTGCACGCTCGTCGGCGGCCGCGCGGTCTAGGAAGAGGAGAGCCTTGACGGTCCACTCGTAGGTTTCCTTGAGTCGCGCGGCGCTGTCGCGTCCCGGGGTGTCATCTGGGCGAGCGGGGAATCCGGGGAGCGGCGGCGCGGACGGCGGGGAGGCACCGGCGAGCTCCTCCCTCAGGATGCAGTCGCGCGTCGCCGTGGCGACCTCGCTCGCAACCTCCGACCTTTGAATGACCTTCTTCACGGCTTCGTCGTGCGCGTCCTGTTTAGCGAAAAGTTCATATTCCCGCCATTAACATCATAGTTAGGTTCCTGAAAGTGACTTTACTTGAACCGAAACGTAATTCTAAATGTGTAACTGTTATGCTTTGTAATTTTTACGAGAAATGATTAAAAAAATTGTATATATATATATATTTTAAAAACGTAGAGATATCAATAGTCTATAATAGAGACTCTATTATGGACTATTGATGATATATATACACCAATTCCCCCATTAACGTCGTAGTTAGACTCCTGAAATCGCAATTTTAACCGAAATAAGGTTAAAAGAAGTGTTCTGCCATCTGATCACGCTTTGATATCAACGTCACAGGCTCACCTTAGTCTCATTGGTTGGCGTGGGTTCGTATATAGTCATAGTGACTTGTATAGTACATGTATACCCATGTTCCGTTTCCTAGAAAAAAGACAATTTTCCCTGTATTAATAATCGAGTATTGACCTTTCTCACGAAAGTTTACTCATGATCAGTAGCAGTGTGCGTACTTGAGGTAAAAGTCCATCCTGAGTATTATTGACATTAGAAAAGAGACTATGTCTTATATTGTTCTTGTTAAAAGCAGATTGTTATTGCTGCTGTACTGGACTGGTTGATAGTCGCCATCAGGGCGCGAAATTAACACCGGCCCACCGGCATATGCCGGCAAATTATTTGGAGGGTCGGTAACACTGGCAAAACACCAGCCCTCCGAGTCGGTGGTTTCAGCCGTGTTAGTAAATACCTACATTTTTATTTATAGCCTACATTATTTATAGCAAATAGCCTACATTAATTTACTGTTTTACCTGAATGATATGACGCCATAACTTATCAACATTTTACAAATTTGAAATTGCGAATGCAAGCGTGAAACATGACATTGATTTTACAAACAAATTTGTGAGGGCTGGTAAATTATAGTGAGGGCTGGTAAAAATTACGGTTACCAGCCCTTTGGGCCGGTGCCAAAAAATCTGAATTTCGTGCCCTAAACATAATATCAGAAGTAGATAATAGGGAATTCGATAGCTTAGATAGGGGGTGTCGATTCTATAAAAGTGGTTTAACCATGTAGCTGCCAGTCAACAGAAACGCCATAAATGTCCTCTATAAGCAGGTGGCTGTTATATGGAGGTTACTGCCACACACAGGTTGACTATATAAGCATATGCGATGACCATGTTGTTCTCAGGTAGCGAAGTCGTGGGCAGTCACCGCGGCGCGTGTTGACATAAGCTTACCGAAATAACCGAGCGAACCGGAGAAAACATGGGTTTTGTCATCGGCTCACCGATCACCGTATCGTTCGTTATACCTGTTCGCGTTCTTCCACGAGGCTGCGTTTCCACGGCNACTTCTGATAATATTGAACATGATAGTGTCCAGTGTGCAGTAAAAATCTGAATTTCGTGCGCTGAACATAATATCAGAAGTAGATAATAGGGATTTCTGATAATATTGAACATGATAGTGTCCAGAGTGCAGTAAACCTCTATCCGAGTCACACTCATAACATGGTCATGTACACACGTATACAATCGTAATAAGAACCTATGTAATCCCTCACGCACACTATATAAGACACACATAAGCGAAATACCGAAAGTGGCCTTAATAGACAGGTGTCGATTCTATAAAAATTGGTTTAACCATGTAGCTGCCAGTCAACAGAAACGCCATAAATGTCCTCTATAAGCAGGTGGCTGTTATATGGAGGTTACTGTCACACACAGGTTGACTATATAAGCAAATGCGATGACCATGTTGTTCTCAGGTAGCAAAGTCGTGGGCAGTCACCGCGGCGCGTGTTGACAAAAGCTTACCGAAATAACCGAGCGAACCGGAGAAAATATGGGGTTCGTCATCGACTCACCGATCACCGTATCGTTCGTTACCTGTTCGCGTTCTTCCACGAGGCTGCGTTTCCACGGCGATTGTTGGCAGGCGTCCGGTGATGACGATCGGTGACGCTTGAGCGGTGCGCTCGCCTCAAACTCTGTTGCTACTCTCACTGACATGGCTTCTGTTAGTGCTTAGATATACTTGCTCAACTTTAGCTTTGTTTTTACGTATCTCCTTGATGTAACTGGAGTATAGCAATGAGTGGCTGAATAAAGAGAAATCGGTGACTGAATACGCAGACGCTCGACGTTGCCGCGTGCGTCCGCTCTGGCAGGTGTTATAAAACTTGTGTGAGGTTAGCCCTAGTACTATAGCCCGCGGGGGCTATAGTACTAGAGCTAGTGTGAGGTTGGCTTATAAGTAAGCGGATGCGGTAGCTTGACCTGTTTGTGATGTGACGTATGTACGTGGGTGCACCTCGCATGTTCGCGCGCACGTGCACCTGCACAAACGTAAAATTTCCCGCACACGGTGCACATGCATTGGTCAGATGTATCGCCGTATAAGCTCGACAAGTCGAACAGTGAGCTTATATTTCATAATCTGCGCATGTTGCTCCGCCCAGTTATACGCGTATAGCTACAGCCGGTTGTTCACACGTCCGATATACGCGTACGAAATGCGTATAGCTATACGAAGTACGTACGAAACGCACCTTTTTTGGTCAGAATAGCTATACGCGTTTCGAACTGAGTATAGCTATACGTGGTCATTCACACGAGGAAAATTTGTCCGGAGTACGTACGAAACTGACTACCTCAGTGATCAGTGGGGGGTTTAGAGACCTTTACGCCGCACTGCACGCGTGGTGGGGGTGTATGATACCCGGCGTGTCATATATATAGCATATTGAAGAAGGTAAGATACACACGTTAGTCATCGTATGACCTTCGCACATGATCGAGATTAGTGCATAGATGATTTATAGATTAGCTTACTATATGCCGAGCCGATCTCGTTAGAATTCAGATTGATGACATAATAAGCGCGATATGTAATTCTGCGAAGAATCATGCGCAAAGAAAACCACGCCGAAAATGTTTTTCATGATGCATATAATAACGCGTCTAATGCTCAGCAGAGAAACAAAAGCAGCACTTACCTCAGCTCGTTGTTCGGTTTGTGTCTTTGCACTTGATACTGCGCTTATATGTGCTCTAGTGTGGTGTCTTCCCTTATATATCCCCGGTAAAAGTAGCTTGCGTCATTTATAGATAAAACAACATCTCTTCCGGTAATATTTGAAAGCGATGCGCTGTTGGCAGGTGTTGATTGCTATATTGATGCAAATCAATGCGGTTGTGTGCAAATCTGTCATCAGCCTTGTGGTAAAATTATTGCGTTGGTTGCAGGTAATCTTTCGTCACCACTTTCGATTGAGGTTACGTTATCCATCGAACAAAGGTAAACGCCAGCACGCCGTCGGTAAACAATTAAAAGTACGGCAAGGACCAGGCTGATCTAAAAAATGGTTTGCCGGACCGTAACCCGGCCGACCTTGTAGTAAAAACTATGTGCGTGGGGAGGAGGGAGGGAGAGGCAGAGAGAGAGAGAGAAAGGAAGAGACAGAGAGTGAGGGAGAGAGTGAGAGAGAGAGAGAGAGAGAGAGAGAGAGAGAGAGAGAGAGAGAGAGAGAGAGAGAGAGAGAGAGAGAGAGAGAGAGA